GGCCCCCGCCCCAGGCCCTCAGACGCATCTACGAGTGGATTCGAGAGGGTGCACCCTCCTCATCGCCATCAGCAGCACGGCCACATGTTGAAGCTGCTACCCTAGCCAGCGTGTCGCACATACTTGAGATTGCATTAGTCAGTTTTGCGCCCCAAAATCTGAAAAGAAAGGCAGAGACACACACACACACACAGAAGACTTTACGGGGAGCATGATCAATGCCGCCACGTCTGCCCGTTCACAACCCATTGCATTAATAATCCATAACGCGTGAATGCAGAGCGCTAGAGATGAGAGCGTGAGGTTTTCAGTTCGATGTTGGGACTAAAATATGGGGAGCATTAGCATTTGAACATGCCCTAGTGGAGGATCTCTTGGGATAGTTTATTTCTGCCTTTATGCCTAGGAATAGGAGATATCAAAAGTGCATTTCGTGCATCTCTAGTTGCCACCCACCGATAGGCATTTAAACGATGCGCCTAATGCCGATAAATCACGGAGGAGACCAGCGGCAGGGCAGACGACACCTCCACTTCAAGATGCAGCTCCTCCGATGCGAGTGCGAGTGAAATATTATCGCCGCTAATGCTGTTAATGAAACAACGTAATTATGTATTAGGAGGGGACGCACCCTACTTAGGGACACTCCGGGCCCGGGTGCGGGTCGCGGCGCACATTAATTATCCGCCGGAGCAAAGTGGTGGTGGTGTGGCCCAAGAGGGGGAGAGGGAGAGAGAGCGGCGAAGTGAAAGTGCGGTAAAAAATGAAACATAAATATGTGTGTTTCGTAGACAGAGAGCAAATACAAATGGTCCAGGGGTAAGTGATGTTCCTGTGACATTATGTATTAAAAGGATTTTGTGTGTTTTACATGCGACCACAACAAGAGCAAGCAGTTCAAAGCAGTCGCCGCCGCTTAGCCCGGTTCCCCCCGCCGATTGGGTGGCCGCCCTGGTGCCAATACCGTTATGTGAAAAGAAAGCGAAGTAGAGGCCGAAGTATTTGATATCCTCTGGTTCGGAAATGCCTGTAGCAAAGCTCTGCTCAAAGTCCCAATACCCTCCGTTAGGGTATGGAAACGAAAATGGAGACGTTCGTTTATCAAATCATTCGCAAATTAAGCAGAACAGTTAGTCGAAAGCAGCAGGCAGCCGCTTGCCACGCCCTCGCACTGCTTGAACTCATCTGAACTCAAGCGAAACGCCCGACAAGTGGAGGCATTCGTCCGTTTGTCGGGTTGTCCGTCCGCCTGCCGCTGCTCCCGCGGCGTTTGTCATGCGCTTAGATAACATTGTCATTAATCGTTCGTAATTAATTATCGGCTCTGGGTCGGGGCTTTATTTTAAAGTAGTTATTATTATAACGAACTGTCAACACCTACTTATAAAGCGTAGTCATGGGTGGAGAGGGGCCTGTACGAGTGTCTCTCTCCTTCTCTCTCTCTCTCCCTCTGTTTGATCTGGGTGGTCGATTGCTTTGACTGACGGTGGCCTGCCTCGAAACCCGTTTGTTTTGGTAGCACCCGGCCCCGGCCCCGGCCTCAGCCCCAACCCCAGCCCCAGTCTCCGACTCTGCCCCCGGTTACGTGGGGCATGTGTAAATGTATGTTAATTTGCCGATCGTTAAATACGAAAATTTGTTGATTTTATTGTCAGTTGGTTTTCATTCGATTTGGTTTCTTTGGGTCTTTTGTCTTTTGCATCTTTAATTGGTTGACCACCATATGGTTTCGATCTGATTCGGTACCACTAACTTTAGTTTCTGGGCTTCGTGTGGAGCTGTTAAATTAGTGTTTATGGGGAGGACATTAAGGCTTAATTGTTCTTTATCTGAACCTGCAGCATTTGGGGATAATTACGATGTCGGGAACTTTTTGGGGAAATATATTACATTTATTCATTCCCATTAAACGAAAGTTGAAGCGGAAGGACGGACACCCACGTTACCAGACCGAGGAATGCCATGAAGTTGAGTTCTCTATGAGGAAGAGCCAAGGAATAAGTGCGGCTTTGCCATTTGGCAAAGGTTAATCTCTGGCCAATGATCTATTCGGATCCATGAAGAGTTCAACCTTGAGCTACGCATGTGGGAGAATGTTTTTTAGCACACTTTTGACAGCAATCCCCATACAATGTTGCGGCAGTCCTCACTGAACTCCGCTCCACTCCGCTCCAGTCGCAGATCCGTTGAAGAACATTGGGACAATTGGAATTTAATGGAGTCAATTTGGTGTTTGGTGTGCATAAACTGGCCCCTCGCACTGGTGTGAGTTCTGCCGAATGCAAAGAGTCCAGAGTCACAATGAAATTGGAGAGCAGTCTGTTTCGATGATGCCTCTGCAGCTCCTGTTGCTGCCACTGCCACTGGCACTGCCACAGCTCCTGCTTCTGCTTCTGCTCCTGTTCCTGCTAACAATGCAGATCAAGAGATGAGCGCGTCCATTTCGGTCGCCGGATCGGCCATTGTTCCATTTGGCATGTTGTTTTAGGAGTTCACTAAAAAGACAAATGTGGTGTAGGGAAGTCAGGGAGGGAGGAGAGAGCGCTGGTGATCTGCTGATGGGGTACGGGTGCGGGTACGGGTACGGGTGCGGGTACGGGTACGGGTACGGGTGCCCTGGGTAGGTGAAGTGGTGCAACTTTGGTTAGTGAGCGAGCCAGCGCGTGTTAGTTCCACTCGTTAAGGATTTACGAGCAATTTTTATCACTTTGAGGATCGCTGACAAATCCGGCAACAACAACCAGAGAGCCACAGTCAGAGTCAGACTCAGAGTCAGAGGCAGTCCGCGGAGCCAAAGCCCGGCCAAGAGCAACAATGCAATGCAATGCAACATGCGCATAATAATGGCAAGTTGTCCAAGAGGAGCACATCCTACGTTCGGCTAGGGGACAGGAAGCTCGCTCGCTTGTCTCATCGTTGTCGCTGATGTGGCCAAAAGTGGCCAATAAAACCCAAGCGACGATGTCAGCCACAGCCACAGCCACTGCCACTGCCACAGCAGCAGCAGCTCCACCGATGACGACGAATTATAGCAAAGTAATCGCACTGGACTCTGCAGTGCCTTTGTCCAGTTTTGATGTACTCTCACAGAGGGCTTCATGATTTCCACTTGATATAAGGTATATGGCATAGATGTAAGCACCTATCCTATCCATTAAACCTTTATTTTGGGGTTCACCAAGAAATGCTTCCAATACAACGATCATTCCGAAAGTGTATCCCAAGTTTCGGTCATCGAGGCCAGCCTTTTCTTCTTGTTTTTCCTTTATTTTATTTATTTGATTGTTTCTCTCTCTCTCTCTCGCTCGCTCTTCTCTTTTTTCACATTTTCCTTGCCAATATTGTTTGCGGCTTTTGGCGTTGATTTCCCTTCCAATTTATGTGACATATTGATTTTAAATTGATGATAGTCTATTTTGCGTTGGATAGCCGGTCGGTCGGTTGGTCGGTCGGTCAAGCAACCGCCATCCAGAGAGCGAGCGAGCGAGCGAGCGAACCAAAGGAAACCAATTTATTTTAGCCATTTTAAATTGGCATTTTCACCGCGTTCCCAATGCAATGCGTAGTCGATACAAACTTGGCTTCGATATGACTTCATCAGCGGGCCTATTGTCAGGGCAGACGGGTTGACTGGGAACTGGGAGCCGGGAACCATCCAGCGAGAGAGATGCCCTGGTGGATGGTGGACGGTGTCTGGTGGCTGGGAATGGGAACCCCTCTAACCCATTCATACATAGGATACAGAGGATAGGTGCACATTTAAATGCAAATTTAATTCAATTAATGATGCATCAAATGCAGCCAATGCCTAATTGCCATGCGATGATCGTAGTCGGTAAATGTGTTCCCCGTCTGCCGTCTGCCGTATACCCTCTACCCTCTGCTGTCTGCTTGATGTTGCTGTTGTCGTTGTCTGCCAGCCAACAGTTTTTCTATTGCTCTCATCCTGAAGGATTCTTTGCCAGCTGCTGCTGCTGCTGCTGCTTGTGGCTGCCACTGCGACTGCCACTGCCACTGCGGCTGCTGACAATATTGATGATTTAGTAGTCTGTGCCGTTTTGTTGTCGTGCCTCTGGCACCATAGGCGTAATTAGACAAGCATTGTGCAAAAGCGTTAATTAAAAGCCACAAAAAAAACCATATATTTATATATATAAAATAACTGGCTCTGGGTATTGACGCCAGCTGCGCCAGCGCCATGACTCCATGAATCGGTGACGCTCCGTCTTCGCCTCCGTAATGAGCCCGTGAATCGATTGCGTAAGCTCCGCGCGGATCCATCTGCTCCATGTTCCATTAAATACCCAAGGCAGCGGGGGCTGCTGCTGCAATCAGCTAATAATTTCCTTTAAAAGATCTCGCTGGGACGGGACTGGGATGGGATGCTGTATGAATGGATGCTTCATGCGTATTTATGAGTCTAACGATTCCTGTTCGCTGTCCGCCCAGGCCCAGTGCCTCTGAGTGTTCAAGTTTTTGGATTGATTTTAACGCCGAATGGTTGTACATATTTACAATGTATAGGTGTTCATCATAATGGAGATCAGGGGACAAAGAAGGAGAGGAGATACTTAGAAAGAATTTTAATTACAAGTTCACATTTTTGATGATTATAGAGATGGGCAGGGCTTCCTGGGCGTGCTCGTATTCCACTAGACTTGAGTGTAAGTTTAGCAAACTAGTTTTTTTTTGAGACCAGCTTATGGACCTTATGGGAAAAGCAATCAAAGTGTGTGGGAGAAATATATGATTAACATGAAACATTAATGACTAGTCGATAATTGCAGTGCCTTTTTCAATATTAGTTTGCAGAACTTGTTCTTTTCATATGGCCACTGTATGCGAAATATCGATAGTGTAGTCGATATTTCTGGAGCTTTTGATTTCCGGCCCTAAAAAAGAAGGTTCCGAGTCCATCTCTATTTCTGAATGATTGCAAAAATTAGGAAAAGGAAAGAAATTGTTTAATAGTAGGCTGTGAATGATAGTCCAGACCATGATGGTCCAGACAACCTAGTGACCTTTAAAACTTGACTAAATCGATTCCTATCAATCTATTCTCACAAATCTGTGCACCGTACACAGTGAAAACCCAGTCAAACTCGTAACAAATAACGCAAGCAGTAAAATGTAAGAGAATTCTTTCAAAGTCCCGACTAAATAACACATTTTTACTTTCAATATCCAGCAGAATGTTTAGCTCCCTCAAAATGTATAAGAATGCAGTGATGCTGCTGCCCCGTGGACCGGCTGTCGGCTCTCTCTGGATTCGTGAGCAGAAGACCATGCCGGTGTACGATGACGTCCGCCAGAAGCCGGCCAAGCGGGGCTACTCTCCTTTCGGACGGAACCAGAACTCCTGGTCGGAGTGGACGCTGGCCCGACTGGACGATCTGCTGAACTGGGGCCGCAAGGGGTCCCTGTGGCCGATGACCTTTGGCCTGGCCTGCTGTGCCGTCGAAATGATGCACATTGCAGCCCCTCGCTACGACATGGACCGCTTTGGCATGGTCTTTCGCGCCTCGCCCCGTCAGACGGACGTGATGATCGTGGCCGGAACGCTGACCAACAAGATGGCGCCGGCCCTGCGCAAGGTGTACGACCAAATGCCGGAGCCGCGTTGGGTCATCTCGATGGGGAGCTGTGCCAACGGCGGCGGGTACTACCACTACTCCTACTCCGTGGTTCGCGGCTGCGACCGGATTGTCCCAGTGGACATCTACGTGCCTGGATGTCCGCCCACTGCCGAGGCCCTGCTGTACGGCCTTCTGCAGTTGCAGAAGAAGGTGCGCCGCATGCGCACCCTTCAGATGTGGTACCGCAAGTAAACCGATCGAATTTAGTTTTAGTCGTGTAAAAGATCAACTCAAATAAAGGCCATGTTCAAAGTTGTCTTGTTCTCAGCTCGGGCTGATCTTTTTGGCCGAAACAAGTCAAAGAGTTAAGCGCATCAGTTCCAGAATCTCGAGATCTGCTTAGTCATAGGGAGCACCCTATAGTCGGCTCGTGCGCTCACCTACACTTGAAGAGGATCAGTGGCAGACGTGGAACTGGAATGGACAAGAGATCTGGCGACAATAGACACTTCTGGCCACTCTCAAGTGTCTCTGACTTTGTGACATGATGAAATATGAAGGGTTCTTGAAACATATGAAAGGATTTTGTTGTTCTCGTAACAAAACCGAAAATCCTTTTTGCGAATTCGCCGACACCGAGTACTTGAACTTGATGGGAACATCATTAAATCCTCTCTCCCTCGGTCGATCTCTCGAGTGCGAGTGCGGTGAGTGCATTAAATTGCCGGGCTGGGCTGGACACAGGACAACAAGCGCATTAGTGTAATCCATTTGGGACACACCCACAGCCCGGCAGTGCTGCGAGGTGAATGGAAACTCTCGAGGCATGAATGAAGGGCCACATTCATTGAGCGAGAGAAAAGGACGAGCCTGGGCAGGCAGGACCCGGCACTTGATGCTCGAGGGGTTGCAGACAAAAGCGCAGCAGGTCGCTGCGCAGGTCCTCGGATCATGGGAATCCGTGACGCAGCCAAGAGGTGCCGGGGCCGAGGCACAGGCACCCGTTTCTCCAGAATAAGAACGGACACAAAATTAACTTGTCTCAATCGCACAGCAATAAAAATTAATAATAAAGCCAGTGGCAACATGTTCGACTCCATTGTGAGGCATTAAATAAATTTAACAGCTCAATGACTTGTCGAAAGGTGGAGAAATCGGACCGCAACGGGGGTGTGGGACGGAGACAGAGACGGAGGACCAGTGGATCCAGTGAAGCGTACGGGCTCAGACATCCATATCTTAATTAGCAGACCCGGGCTTACATTAACCTTAATTTCGGAGTGTGTATGTTTTTTGTTGTTGTATTTTTATTCTGGTTTAAACTTTAAGTTTAATGATTTCTACTTAATTGCGGCGCCAAGGCGCCAGGGAAAGCCTCGCCGCTGGTGCATTGCGATTCCAGTCGAGTGTCCAGCGGCGCATGTTCAGGATTTGCACTTGAGTGAAAACGGAGGGTAGAGTGGGATGGTGATGTTGATGGGGATGACCACCACGGTGGGTCCTACCTGCACCTCTCTGTTTCTTTCTTGATTTGATTGTAACCCCCTCGCTTAGGGACAAGGGCTAGCCTCAATGTTCCACGGGCCATAAATTATGTCAGACAATTTAGGAAATGCCCAACGAATTGTGTGTTTAACACCTAATCGCCCGTAATGCGCTCAACCAATTGTGAGGTCCTCCAACCGACTCGCCGCCAAAATGGTCCCAACAATAAAGGGCACCACCATCCATAAACCCGAAAAACAGAATCTAGTCTCGTTCATTCATCCATTCATTCGAGGCATTCATTCATGGCCTCATAATGAAATTGTTGGATGTCTTCTTTCGGTTCTCTCTCTTGAAATCTTTTTAGCATTGTGCCCTGGCCAAGATTTATGTTCATGAATGTAAATGCCTTCTTCAAATCGTTTTTTATTGGCATTATGTTGAATTGATTTGTTGCCTCGTTTGGTTCTTTCATAAAATTATTATCACACTTTAGAAATTCCCTCCCCCCCTCCATCTGTCTGCCTGTCTGTCTGTCTCCTTTCTTGGAGAATTATTAAGCTGATTTTAATTGCGATCCATGCGTTGGCTGCTTTGATCGGGAATCGTAAATCTAATTTAGTGCTCTCAAAAAAAAAAAAAAAACGAAGAACTATTTCTATAACAAAACAAAATTTAGATGTTTTCTAATTATGCAACGACTGATCGGATCTCTTCAGAGTGGGGGAAATGTTTTTGTGTGTTGTTTCGGATCGGATCGGATCGGACCGGATTTGATTGAAATTTATCGCTAATGCATTGACTCTCTGGCTTGTCGATCACTGATCGGTAATCTCTAGGGCGTTGTCCAACTTTTTCCCCCTCTCTGTTTACATAAATATCTTGGCCCTGTGGCTGCCAATTTTGGTCTCAAGTTATTGGAAGTCAGCGCGTTAAGCCGTTATAGATACTTTACAAAGCCATAACGATCGAGATGTAGCTATTCGATCTTGATGTTGTGTTTTTTCGGGGTTCGTCGCCGTCTGAGATCATTTGTTAAGTAAAAGTGAAAATTTGTTATTTGTTACACTCGGGAAGCGATAAGAATCTTGATTTATATTTAGGTTTAGCTTTTATAAGTATCGGATTCCAAATGCAAAAAAAATGCACTGGAAAAGGTTGTTTCTGGCATTTATTCGCCCGATAGGTGACACAGTCCTACTTTTGTTCGATAAGTGCCAGATAGCTTCATGTAACAGATTCCTTTATCCTTTATATCTATCTATAACTATCTCTTTTACAGAACAATAGATAGCTCGAAATCCTGATACGACATTCGATTAATAAATGCACTGTTAATCTTGGAGAAATTACTCTTAATTCCTTTTATTGAGTCCCCTTCGACCATGTGGCTACCACATTATGATCATCCTCGGAATCATCATTGTGTTGGCCCAAATTAGTCGCCAAGCTGCCAAAACGTTTAGTAGCGAGCTCTCACCAGAGAGCCTCTCCCCACATTGTTCATTTGTCATGCAGGACTGACAGACAGACGGACGGACGACTGTACCCGTTGACATACATTCGGGCTCTTTGTTTGTAAGCCCCAAACCCCAACCCCAACCCCAACCCAAGCCCAAACCCGAACCAACCTCATCATCATTTTCATTTTTGGGGGGGAAAAAGTGCCTTTGCCGCATTGCGCAATAAAACAAAAGTCGCGAGGGAATTGAGGAGAATCCATCATTAATAAGCCCTAAAGTGGCTTCTGGCTGCTGGTTGCTGGTTGCTGGCTGCTGGCCGATAGCCCCGTCCAGGCGGGCAATAAAAACAATGGCCAAAATGGGCAATGAGCGAGCAAACCAGCAACGCACTTGTTGCTCCTCTTGTGGTTGTTGCAGCTTGCAAACAAGAGCCAGAGCCAGAGCCAGAAGCAGGAGCAGCAGCAAAAAGCTGCAGCAACGGGAGGGACAAAAAGCCAAACCGCTTTAGGCCATTTAAGGCAACGCAATTAATTATTTTTTAACTGTTTTGTCATTTCGGAATGCGAATGCAGGCAGCAGCCATCGTTGGCCATCGATTGGTCTTCGTCCTGTCTTCCTGACTCCCGGACTGCCAGACTCCCGGACTGCCAGACTGCCGGACTCCCTGCCGGACTGCCTGCCTTCCTGCTGTGGCTAAGGACTTTGACATGGCCGAAAGCGATGCAGCTTTCGCTCGTTGATCGCTTGATCGGTTGATCGATTGATTGCCTGCAACCTGCTACGTGCAACGTTCAACCTGCAACCAGCAGCCAGCAAGCAGTAAACCAGCAAAAAAATGCGCCGAGATTGTAAAACGCGTCTGTAACAAGCCGTTGCGTTAATTTGCCGCTGCCGATTGGCTGCTACCGAACGACGACGACCACGACCAAGACCACGACAGCTGCTGCCAGTCACCTAAAATAGAAAGTTTTTTATCCTCTTTTTATTTTCCTCGGAGTATATGTACAAATAGGTATATATAAAATATGCAAAAATGTTTAATATATTACAAATTAAACAACAAAACTCTGTCCACCGAGAGACACTAGTCGGGGGAGCCTCATGCTCGTGTGCGGCAATAAAAATAATAAAAATTCATAAATTTCTTAAACAACCTCGAACAAGTTGTTGGCCACAGCCACAGTCTGCTGCTGCTACCACTTCTGGCCGGGCTTATTTGCTTTGTCTGTTTTGATTATAAAAAGCATTCAGCTTTAATTTGTCAATTTCTTAATTGGCGTTTCGTACGTTCCACATCGCAATGCCAGCCATCTCTTTCTGGCTGCCTGCCGCTGGCTGTCTCTTTCGATCGTTGATTTCGATTTTCTGTCGCCTTTTGTCCGTCTCTTCAGAGCATACACACACACACAGAAGCAGAATCGGATACAGATACAGACCCCCGCACAGATACAGATACAGATACCGATACAGATACAGATACAGCCTCCGCTGTGCTCAGTGATAGAAGAATTTTAACAAGCTACGGTGTTTTGGAATTTCGTACGTGAAGAATCCAAAAATGTTTTACGCAATTAAAGAATCTGATAAAATGTCTACAAGCGACGGCGGGCCGGGCCGTGCTGGCCCCCATCCTCGGATCGCGATTCCGGTCCGGTTCTGGTTCTGGGCAGAAAAACGATGCCATCCTCCCAGGGCCCCCGGGCCTCCCTTTTGGGGGCCAACCTTCAACGCATATCGATCACTTGTCCGACGGTAAATATGACAAATTTCGAGGAACCACCAGCCAGCAGCAGGAGTCGCGCCACAAAAAGAGACAAAATCAGAGGCGAATGCACATCAATATCGATGGGATGGGATGGGATGGGATGCGATGTGGTGCGGTGCGATCGTGCCGTGTCCCAGTCTCCATCTGTATCTGTATCTGTATCTGTGCTGTATCTGTATCTCAGTCTCAGAGTCAATGCCTGTTTGTTGTGGCACAAACCAATTAAGCCGAGATTAATTGGCCATGTCAAGTGGCGTAATCGAGCGCGAACACAAGTTTGACATTTCATAATTATTTCAACTGCCTGACTTTGACTCTCCCAATCTTGTCTCGTCTCATGATCGATCAATCTCAGTATATGTATCTGTATCTGTATCTCCCCCTCTCTCTGAGTGCTTGTGCTTGGCTTATGATAGATACATTCCGTAGATACATAGGTATAATTGTTTGTTTTGATATGTTGATTTCATGAGATAACCCCATGGGTCCCTTGGATCCCTTGGGGATTATTGATATTTTGTTGTAATTATGTTGTCAGCCGAGTTTTGGGTCTACTTTTCTGGGAATGCGGCAAGAGATTGTTGTTAGATTATCCGTGG